AGTAACTGAGGGATGGTTAAGTCTTGGTCGACCATGCACAATAGTCACACCATGAGTTTAATTCAGGAGAAAGGTAGACGATCACGAGACCTTCTACAAGGGGCATCTGAGTTGTTTAAGTCTAATAAGATTGTGCTTCTATGAACCCTGACAACTGCCAATGATGTAGGCCCTCTATAGGAATTTTCTAGTTCCTCTCTGTACCCAGGCCTTTATCAACAAACTCTTCAGGAAGGAGCACCCGAACAGGGACTCATTCTTACCACGATGGTTAATTTCCACTGCCAACTTGATTAGCTGAAGAAGCCTTTAGGCATCAATGAGGCACACCTGGGAGAGAGATTTAGCTGAAGAGAAGGCTCCACTTCTCTTGAATATAGGTGGCACCATTCCACGGGCTGGGGTCCCTGACGGAGTGAACAAGACAGAAGTGTAGCCTGCACTCTACCGGATTTAATTTCTCTCTGCTTCCTGACCTGCCCAGGATCTCGGCCACGGTGCCCTCCCCACCATGATAGGCTGTATCCCCTCAAAGCCTAAGCCAAAAGGCCTCCTTTCTCATCCAAGTTGCTTCTTTCAGAAATTTGGTCAGAGCAATGTAGAAAGACAGGCATGAATAAACAGTCTCCATTCTCCTTTGACTATCGATTATGGGTCAAAGAAAACACAAGATTCCCTCAGAGAACAAGTGAGATACTATGACCCTGCCCAGCGCCAGCTTAATTTGAACAGAACAAACTGAGACAACTGTATTCAAAGAAGAGCAAAAGGGAGCAGCTGAAATTACTCCCCACCACCAGAAAGCCAATTACATCTGCAGGACAGCATGAGGGCCAGCTGTGTCAAATGACTACAGAACCCGGAAGGCATGAAAGAAGGCTGGGGCCACACACTGCATTCAGTAAGAGGAATGCTTAAGCTAGACAGTGTCTGGAAACATTAGCCAGAACATTACATACTCTTTTTGTTGTTGTTGTTTTGTTTTTTTGAGACAGAGTTTCTCTGTGTAGCCTTGGCTGTCTTGGACTCACTTTCTAGACCAGGCTGGCCTTGAAATCACAGAGATCCACTTGCCTCTGCCTCCCTGAGCGCTGGGATTACAGGCGTGCGCCACTGCCTGGCTAAAACAGCACATACTTTGAAGAAGCATTCTTAGAAAATTATCAGGAGGATAAGACAGATTGATGGCAGATACAGAAGCCAATAGACCTTGCCAGGAGTGAAATGACTGGCAGGAAACTTCTACATGCAAATGAGAGGTTAAAAGGGGAAATCTGACAGGTATCGTGTCTTGGTTACCATTACCGAAAGCAACTTGAGGAGGAAAGGGTTCATTCAGTTTATGCTTCCACGTCACTGTTCATCATCAGAGGAAGTCATAAGGACAGGAACTCAAGCAGGGCAGAGACCTGGAGGCAGGAGTTGAGGCAGAAGCCTGGGAGGGGTGCTGCTTACTGGCTTGCTTCTCATGGCTTGCTCAGCTTGCTTTCTTCTAGAACCCAGGAGCACCTTTCCAGGGGTGGCACCGCCCACAATGGACTGGGCCCTCCCCCATCCGACATGAATTAAGAAAATGCCCTACAGGCTTGCCCACAGCCTGATCTTATAGAGGCATTTTTTTTTCAGTTGAGGTTCCCTCCTCTCAAATGACTTTAGTTTGTGTTGAGGTGATGTGAAACTATCCGGCACACACACATACAAAAGCTGGGCCTCATCGTACAGTTAACTGAAGAGCAACATAGGAGGCGCCAACTCCCGAGCCTGTTGAGGTCAACTCTCCCTCTAAGATAAATCTGTGGGGAGGGGAGAATCTCCTGATATAGATTTAGGCAGGCTTAAATTCTTTTCAGAACAAGACTAGGCTAGTGAACCTTGAACCTTGAGCCTGGTTGGAATGAAGAATTCCAGCCAAGGAGCAAGAGGTCTGGATGTGGGGCAGGCCAAGCCATGAATTTTGTGCTCGGGACAGCTTGTGTCTCTGACATGTCATTAGACAGAGCCTGGTGTGGACATGGAGTGCCAGAGGCACAGTATCAGAAGGCAAAGGAAATTAGGACTTCTCAAATGGGCTTAGGAGGAGAGAAGGGAGTTCCCGTGGCAAAGGCAAAATTGTAGACTTTATAAATTTATGGCATGGAACCCCTCATTTGCTACTTTCTGAGAGAAAATGGGCTTAGGAGAGTCTTCCCCCAAATGGAGAAAAATATTGCTTGTGATATAAGATTGCTTTGTATGTTTTCTATAATGTTCAATACCCTCCTGTGGGGGGAGGGGTAGGAGGTGGAGGTGGAGCGGAAGCCCAGATTGCTAGGGATGCTGAAAATCCAAGGTTTTCTTTCTTCCCTCCCCCTTCCCACTTCCTAGTCTCTTCTCTCATCACTGCCAGGTCATTCCCAATGACAGGCGCAGTCTTTGTGGTTCCAACAAGCGGGGCCTGAAGTTTGCAGTGATTGCTGTGGGATCCAGAGCCTGCAGGTTTTTTTTTTTTTTGTTTTGTTTGTTTTTGTTGTTTTTTTTTTTTTTAAATAGATTTGGGGTGCAGGGCTAGTTCTGGGTAGAGTGTGCAGCCTGCTCATTCTATAGGCTCTTTAAAGCAGGGATCCTGAGAGAGCTGGGGTTGGATCAACTCACCCCCAATCCCAAGGGAGCAACAATGGTGTGTTAGTGGAGGGACAGCTCGGGTGCTGCAGAGGGCCTCTCGGGCAGCTGAAGGGAGGGCCGAAAGTAGACAGGCAAAGACAATGGAGAGTGAGATTGCTGGACACAGAAGACGCCTTCTCCAGCTCAGATCTACTTGACCAGCAGAATAGGCCCGTGGGCACAAAAGGATCTTCCATGCCTCGCCTACTAGGAAAGTGTGCGGTCCCTCACGCTTACACCGGCAGAATTCCGAGTTGTCCCGGGGAGCACACATGAAGGGAAGGAGTCCAGCTGAGTGGATCCTCCACTCTTCCCCTAGTCACCCCAGTGAGCGTCGTCAGCATGGTGCTCGCGAAAACCGACTACCCAGCCCAGAAGACAGGCAGCAGTTTCCTAAGTAAGAATCCACCGGCAACTGGCCAGTTGCCGTAAACCCTTAACCGGATCTCGGCCATCCCTCTGTGGTACCTCAGGCTGTGCTGACAGGTAGCCTGGGTCGCGTCCTGCAGGCACCTGAAGACTGCCTGACCCGGAAGGCACAGAGTAAGGGTGACCTCTGCTGGCAAAGAGGTGGTACTACAGGAACCTGCCACCCAGTATCCTGGACTGTTCCGTAAGACCCACCACCAGGTCGGATGTCACCGGTGAGTCTGTTTCGGAATGGTCAGTCTGTCCCTCTGTCCTGGTGGGCTAAACTTTAAATCATCTCCACTTGCTTCTCCTCTTCACCTTGAATATAAAAATTTGGAGGCGGTCACGAGCAACTCACTTTCCAGTATCATCTCTTTTGCTTTTTCTCCCTTTACACTGAGCAGGTAAACTATGAAAGGAGTCTTCCCTTGTCCCTGTTGTTTTTTTCCTTCTGACCGTGAGCAGTTTATTTTGGGCATATTTAAGCACAGCACTATTTGCTGAGGACGTTCCTGGTCATAACTCTCAATCCCATGTAAATCTCCCCAAGGAACAAAGTAAGCTAAATAAAGATCAGCTGTGACTACAGCAGAACTGTGTAAAAAAAAGCACATGTGACCCCTCCATAAAGGCAGGTTCTTTAGATGGACTGAGAAAAGCAAGTTTGTGGTGAGGGTCTGGGGGAGATCCAGGGTGGTCCCCACAGATAGAGGGGAAGGTCACCAGGCTATGCACCAGGTCCACTCAGAGCTGTCAGGGAGGTCAACTGGTCATGATTCCTCCCTTTGAAGGAACAACCCCGTGTGCTTAACATCCCAGGTTCCCTCAGTGCAGAGCTTCTCAACCTCTGGTTCACAAGTCCTTCGGGGGAGGGGGCTTGAACGACCCTTTCGCAGGGGGCCTGGGGCCATCTGCATATCAGATATTGACACTGTGGCTCATAAAAGGTGCAAAATTAGTTACGAACTAACAACAAAAATAATGTTGCGGTTGGGGGTCACAGAAAAGAGTCGCAGCAATTGGAAGGTTGAGAACCGTGCCCTGATGCTCGTCTGTGAGAACAGAGACATCCCTGCCTTCTACAACATCTGGGTTTATTCGTTTCACCCACAACCCATAGAGACCTACCTCATCCCTTTTTAAAAGATTATGATTTAATACTATGACTTTCAGTATATTTTGTGGAAATGACGTCATCCTTTGCCCAGTACCCTAAAGACTGGATGAACACACTTTGGATCTCTGTATTCCCCTGCTGTTGCTACACAAAGATGCTCTTGAGCATTGCTCTGTTGGTCCAAAATCCCTTACCTGCAATTCCAAAGTCCAAACAGCTTCGAAAACAGAGTATCTTTTCAGTTGTTTAGCATACTCCTTGGCAGCTAAACCTTAGCTGAGCTGGTAGGAGGCTATTTATAGTTCTTCTGCTTTAATGTGAATTTACGTGTCTCTTCCACTGACATACAACTGGCTTTGGTTATAGGTTGTTATCCCAATTCCCTCTAGGGCTGTTACAAAACATCCCATATTGTGTGCTCCAACTTATCTTTCCAAAGAAGCAGTTTTCATTTTGAACCATATTTAGCACCAAGAGTTTCCAATAGGTGACAGTCACCCTGGCGCTCCGTACATACTTTCAATATATCTTTAAGGAAAAAGTTAGAGGCGCTGAGTGGCTAATGGCACATTCACCTTTAACTTGTGAAAGATGCTGTCAGACTGTTCTTCAAGAGTTAACCTACAAATGCAGACACCAATGTGAGAAGGAAGTGTATTTATCAGTATAACATAATGTCCTAAAATGAGAAATTAACAGCAGAGCCTCCATAACTCTAGTGTGGTGTTCGGAATGCTATTTGCAAATTAAGATAAACAGTAGCTTTCTAAAACTGTGACGTAATAAAAATCGACTGAGTCTAAACCCAAAGAGCATGACACTTTTTCAAATATGCACTTGTTCAAACAACTGTTCATATATTTATCAAGAGCCTACTAAGTGCCAATCACTGACTGAATGCTAGAAATACAACAATGAGTAACAACAGTAGGTCTTGGAGCTGATCCTTTGGTATGTTAATGGACAATAAACAAGAGAAGTACAAATTTTAGACAAAGTTATTTTTAGGCAAGAGCTTCATTCCTATTATATATATTTCTTATAATCAAAGGTGGAAAATCAAACAGGAAAGCGTAAGAGAAGTACAAATTTTAGACAAAGTTATTTTTAGGCAAGAGCTTCATTCCTATTATATATATTTCTTATAATCAAAGGTAAAAAATCCAACAGGAAAGTGTAATATACATAAACACACAGTCTGACACAAAAATAGGTTTGGTTTGGTTTGTTTTTTTTAAAGCACCCTCTATCAATACATGGAAAATAAGAGGAACTCAATGCTGGTATATGTCTCTGAGAGCAGCAGCTTCCAGTGTGGCTAGGATGCTTCAGGAGGGATGAGAGTGTATACTCTGGGCTAGCCTGGAGCAGAGCAGGAAAAGGGCTGTGGGCAGCCGGTTTGTAATGTTTATCAGGAAGCATTCAGGGTGAGGAGATCTTCACTTTATCACAACCTGATTCTCACTAGCTCCCACCCCCATTAATGGTTTGGAATTTTTTTTTTAAGATTTATTTTTCTTTTATTTACTTTTTCTATTTATTTATTTATTTAGGTTTTTTTTTTTTTTTTAACAACGTTTCTCTGTGAAGCCTTGGCTGTCTTGGGCTTGCTTTGCAGATCCGCCTGCCTCTACCTCCCCCAGTACTGGGATTATAGGAACACACCACCGTGCCTGACCGTTTCGCCTGAACATGGCTGTGAATCACTCATGTGTCTGGTGCCCACGGAGGCCAGAAGAGAATGCTGGGTCCCCTAGAAGTCGAGTTACAGATAATTGTGAGCCAAATGTAGATGATGTGAAGTGAGCCTGAGTCCTCTAGAAGAGCAGACAGCGCTCCTACATGCGGAGCCATCTCTGCAGCCCTCAGATAAATATTGTTGTTTTTATTTTAAAGGTAGATAAAACCTGAGGGACATGATGAAATTTTAGATTCAATAACTATCAAAGACCTCACTGAGGAGTGAAGAAAACAAAGTTGAAAGATAAATCTTCAGGCGACAACTACTATTCGCAGCATTCCTGCCTAGGGAATCAGCTACAAGGGAGATGAACTGCATAGCCCTGAATTCAATATGCCCAAGCATGCCAAGTAAATAAATTAATTAAGAATAAAATGAATCAAATTTAAAGAAAAAACCCAGAAAAGACTTAGAGCAAGAAAAACTGCAACAGAACTGAAGACTGATGTAAAGATGAGCAACGCTGTTTTCATACAGTGGTGTGGCCTCCCATACAACATCTGCCTGAAGGGCAACCGTGAACTCTGTACAAAATACAGAGAGCCACCCCGAGCGTTCCAAGGAGGAAATACGAGCGTGGTGTGGAGAAAAATCCACAAGACCCTCATTTAGGCAGAACCCTAAATGAAACCCAAAAAATTTAAAACAGAAATAGGACTAGACGTATCCTGACTGCACCAAAATGAAACTCGAAAACCCCAACAGACTACACTTACAAATCAGTACAAATTTTAAAAGAACCACTTGTTTTCCTGTGTGGTGCCCATGGCGGCCAGAAGGCCTCCGATCCCTCAGAATTGGAGTTAGAGATGGTCGCGAGCCCCCATATGGTGCTGGGATCAACACTGGGTCCTCTGAAAGACAGCCAGTGCTCTCAACCACGAAGCCATCTTCCCAGCCAAGCATCACCTTGTACACCTCTAAAATTAGGAGCATTAGATAAAACTTGTAATAATTCATAAAAGGAAACCTCAACAGAGATTAATAAGCTAATGTAGGGCTGAAATGAAGAACACAAAAGCAAGATGATATTTCAGCAAACATGGGATGCAGTTAAGCTGGGCTGAGAGTGATGTTTATATTATTAAACACTTACAGCAGCAATTAAGAAAAATTCCCAAATAAGGAACCTAAGTTTTCACCTCGAGGAATGGAAAAAAAGAGAAAGAGCTTATTTTAACCCAAAGAAAGTGAAAAGAAGATAATTAAAACAAGCCAAGCTAAAATCTGTCTGGACAATATATAAACAACTAGGTCGAAAAAAAAAAATCAGTGAAGCAGAAACATGGTTCTCTGCAAACACCAGCAAAATGGAAAAACTCCTGCACCACTGACAATAAAAATACAGCAATACCAGGAATAAAACAGAGGGAATTACTACTGTAGCCAGTAAAAAAAGATAATAAAATTCTATGAATAACTTGATGCTTATAAGTTGACAACCCTAGAAAAAAAAAGGATACATCTTTTTAAACCCACAAGTAATCAAAACCCAAGCAAGCTTTTCCACTCTCAAGGGAAGTTTAGATCATGGTTACCCAGCCGCAGGGCCTATACTCCCTATCCATCCCTGCCAGGATGTCTCCTGCAAACATGTGGGGACCAGAAGGGACCATCTGATCACCCGTCGAAGGACGGTGCCAACAGTTCCTCAAAAAAGGCAGTGTCTGGACCGAGGCATTCTGGGTTCCTGATCACTAACAACCTTGGCATTCTTCACCAAAATGAGGAATCCCGTGTTTCGGGGTGTTAGTTCACTCCTCTTGCAAGCCCATGAGGGCGGAGACTGCTTCACTTTGTAGGCGAGAAACCTGAATTCCCGGTGGAGGAGGAGCCTTTTCCAAATGGGAGTTTGGAGTGGAAGAAGAATGAGGAACCACCCCTTGTTTCCCAAAGACAGGGGCGGGGTCCCAAGCCACCCAACCTCACCTGTAACTTCACAGAAGAATCTTGACCAAGATTTTGTTGACCAACAAAATTAGAGAACCTCTGATCAGAATAATTTCATACCACAAGCTGTAGGAAAATTATATTTATGTATCTTTTTCCACTTTGTTCAAAGTTTTAACTGACTTTATTATATTCCTAGTGATAAGATGGCTCTATTTATGATAAAAAAATATGTAGCCACCTTTCACATTTTCATTTATACCAAAGGATGCTCAGGTGCAGCTCTTTAAGATTTATAGAGAAAAGGTTTGAAAAACCTCACCATCTGACATGTAAAAGTTAACTATGTTCTACTTCTGCTGTGTATCAGATGGCCTACAAGCAGTTTTTCAGGGCTTTTTTTTTTTCATTTTATTGAAACATGAATAAATAATTTTTTGCTGCAAGTTTAATTCCAGTGCAATATGATCATGAAGATACTCGGTTCATGAGGGACACGTCTGCAGATGCTATGAAAGATGAGGCTCCTGGCTGGCTCCGCTACCTGATAAAAACGAAACGCTTTTCAAGAGAAGAAATGGCGCTCGTGGCCCAAACACATTCAGCTTTGCTCCTGAGACTGACTGCATGGGCAGTCGCTTGGGGACCCGCTCAGACAGACAATCATGTAAGATGATCCGAAGCAGCAGAGGAAGGACGTAAGGAGAGTGAGAAAACCATCCTAGAGAAAAGACAAAGAAGCTAGTGGTTGCTGGGATGAAAAGAAGGTCCAGGCTGTACCTGTGTCCCAGTCACACAGTCTGACCTGCTGGGCCCCAGGTGGCAGAAGCTGAAGGAAGCCTCTAGCCACTCTGACGGGACACTATTCTTAAGGGCATGGCCCCTCTACTTTGCCACTCCTTTCTCAGGAGTGTGGACATGCCTGTACATGGGCTTGCACACAGGGTCTTGGAGATCATTCTGAAAGGGAGGAGGAAGATTTATCACGGCTTATGGTTCACTACAAATGTGCATCACCCAGAACCATGGAAAGCCACGTGCCCCAGAATGCACAAATGGTATGGGATGCTCTGGAGATCGCCGCCATCAGCCCAGGAGATCGCCGCCATCAGCCCAGGAGATCTGATGTTTTGATGGTGAGCTTCACATGCTTTTCCAGTTCCAGTAAGGTCTGGTAAAGCTTTTCAGCGGTGTCTTCATCTACATCCATCTAGGAGACAAGCACAAATAGAGAGGGCTGCAACAGAAAGATAAACAAAGGGGCATGTGAGTTAAGGGAGGGCATCTATATAGTAAGAGAACTAGAACACAGGAAGCGGCAGGAAGGGGCCACTCGGACTGACGGGAAACCATGAGAACATGAGGACATAGACGCTCTGCAGGTATCTAGCCTCCAACTTCTTGCTTTACACAGAAAGTGAGATACCCAATGTGAGTGTTTTTCCTACTCCAACTCCTCCGTACCCAACCAACCACTAAAGGGAAGAGGGAGAAAGGAAATCAAGTCTGCATTCCTGTAGATGTCACCCCCCTTCCAAAGGGATTCTATGTACAAGAAAGCTCTTTCTTAAGTCACTATTATTTTGCATTCTTGTCTTTCCTGTAGAAAAATCTTACTTTAACTATCATAGGAACCATCTTTCAGCTCCTACAAACAGGATTTCTTTTCTCCAAGTCAACATGGAGCCTAAACTTCAAAAGCAGGATCTTCTTAAAACTGAAAGGCCAGGGATTAAGAAAACTTTAACATTCTGGAAATAACATTCACCCTCATTTGATCCTGTTAGTTCTTTGTATTGAAACTGAAAACGTTACAGATTTCTTCTGTCCCAATCTCACCTTTATTTAAATTTATTCCTCAACAATTCTGCATTCGGGTTACACTTGTCCTTGCCCTCTCTTCCTCTCTTATCCCAACCCTTCTCCTCCCCCTTCCTGCTTTCACATCATTTTGTTTTTGTGTTGTGACACAGTAGGTTTGGCCAAGCTGGTCCACACCGCATGGGTCTGGAGGTCCACTGCAGCACAGCAGGCTTATCAACGAATACGCAACAACTCCCCCTCCTCCAAAGTCTATCAGCAGCCCCTAGTTCCCCCTTCCCTTCAACAGAGGGGAAGCGGATTTCCTTCCCACAAATGAATCAAAGGCTAAAATATTTTCTTCAATGCATTTTTTTGGGGGGGGAGGGAGGTTTCAAGACAGGGTTTTCTCTGTGTATCCCTGGCTGTCCTGGACTTGCTTTGTAGACCAGGCTGGCCTCAAACTCAAGAGATCCACCTGCCTCTGCCTTCCTGAATACTAGGATTACAGGCGTGCGCCACCACACCTGGCTTCTTTTTCAATGCATTTTGTAGAAAACTAATGAAACACCTGAGTTTGTGGAATTAAAGATTTTCTCCCCTGTAAGGTTATAAGATAACAAATTTGAATAAACTCTGAAAGCCCCAAAGTAAGCTTATTAAGCTGCAACAGGGTTTTCTACAATATATTAACCTGGATGTAAAGGATAATAAATTAACTCAAACTTGAGTTAAAAAAAAAAAAAACTCAGAACATGGTAGTGCATATCTTCAATCCCAGAACTCATGAGGCAGAACAGGCAGATCTCTGTGATCTACTTCTGCAGGCCAGCCTGGCTTATACAGCCGGTTTGTGCTGGCTAATTTTATGTCATCTTAACACAAGCTGTAGTCACTCTGGAAGAGGGAACATCAGTTCAGGAAAACGATCCCACCAGACTGGCCTGTGGGCAAGCCTGTGGTGTATTCTCTTGGCTGATGAGTGATGTGGCAGTACCAGCTTACTGTGGGCAGTCCATCCCTGGGATGATGGTCCTGGGTGCTGTCTTTAAGTAAGCCAGCCACTGGGAGCAAGCCAGTACACAGCAGTCCTTCAGGCCTCTGCTTTGTTTCCTGCCTTGAGTTTCTACACTGACTTCTCTCAGTGATGGAGTGTGATGTGAAAGTGTGAGATGAAATAAGCCCTTTCCTCCCCACGTGGTTTTGGTCATGATAAAACACAGCAAGAGAAACCCCAACCAAGGCATAGTTCCGGGCCAGCCAGAATGTACTGATGAGACCCCATCCTAAAACAAAACAACAAAGGAACAATTCATGTAGTAAAGAACAATGTGTAAACACCAACATCAACCATGTCATCTCTACACTGCTAGACTGTTTCAACAGCTAAAAGCCATACCTAGGCTAATCCACTGTGGTGAGCCCAGCAAGAAAGAGGTAGACTGCGGTGAGGCGTCACTCAATTCTACCTGACTGAGAAGCCACTTCCTGAAAATATTCTCAAGTCACTGCTATCCAACACAACATATTCCAAAAACTCTATGAAAGGCTGGTTTTTAGCAGCAGGTGACATGGAAGCAACACACATGGCTGAAGGGCACTGGAGCCCTTCAGTGCTGCTGCCAAACTGACAGAGGTCACTTACTTGCCTCAATCTAGCTCTATTTTCTACCAATGCATCCTCAGTGAACAGGGCAAAGAAAAGCAGGAAACTACAATAAGCCTTGTTTGTGACAAAGCTACAGCATGTTTCTGTAGTCCCAAGTACATACTCTCATTCCCTTGACACGCTGTGCAATTCTTCCTGATTTTTTTAATTAGACTACAGAAGACACAATACTGATTTGATTTGCTCTATTCTATACCCTTTATCTCTAGTCTATTGTGTAAAAAAAAAAAAAAAAAAAAAAAAAAACCTCTCTGACAAGGCTGATAATTATCTCAAACAGAAGGTACATTCAGAGACAAGTTAACTTCACATAGAAGTATGGTCTGTATTCCATATGACTCATGATATGTTTACTTAAGTCTCTGTGTGAGGCAGCATACTAGGGAAATGGGTATGATCTTATGTGCTGACACGGACACCTAGGGTGAGCACTACATGGAACAAGTACACGAAATCCCACAACAGGGCCCAGGGCCTGGTCGAAAGAGACCAGAGAAGGTTGGGAAGAAGCAGAGATCTGAAGGATGAGCAGACACCAACAAGAACACAGGTAAGAGAAGCTTCAGGAGAAAGAAGCTGCACACAGCGCTGAGACAGGAGGAGGCAGAGAGCTATGAAGTGGACCAGGATGACGCCAGAGTGAAGGCGGGCGCAGAAGCTGCCAGCCTCACAGGCCCAGAGCATCAGCATGGTGGCATCTCCCACGTGACAACATCAACAGATTTACCTTCATGCCAGTGACATAATTAGTCCCAAAGCCTGTGGTGGAGCTCAGATATTTTGTCAGAGGATCGAGAGACTCGGGTTTTTGGTGGAAAAGCCACACCTGGAAAAGAAGAACCACATCAGCGGTGCTGCTTTTCTTTGCCATCAGCACTTCACAGAGCTCCCTGACACTGTGAGATTCCTCTCAAAAACCAGTGGCTAATCCAAATGTCTCCAGAAGCCGCTAGCAGAGTTTTGAAGGGAGAAGGTAAGGCAGCCTGCTTCACAGTAGACTTTGAGAATCAATCTAAGCAAAAAAAAAAAAAAAAAAAAAGAACAAAGCAGAACAACAACAAATCCTCACTCAGCCATCTTCTCCCTTAACCTGCAAATAAATCCATGTCTCATCCACTGGCTTACTTAACATCATTCCTACACACACTACAGTAAAGCACAGGTCACTGGGATAATATTTGACCAGTAAGAAGTCCAAAATGTTTACATGATATGAAAAGGAAGTCTTCCTCCTTTTCCAACTTTGCGGCCACTTGGCTGTCATCTCTGAGAATAACCCACTCTTCTTTCGTGTGTGGTCACACAAAGAAACACTTCTTCATTCAGAAACACATACCCTTCTTTCTTACGTGGAAACATAACACGCAGAAGTTTTCACTTGAGCATCATAGCTTCAGTTTGTCAAATCTGTGTAGACTGAGCTATTTCGTTTGCTTCTGAATCCCATCTCAGGAGTGAGCTGTAACTGGTGTGTTCAGCTTTTAATTGAAAACATACCCGGGAGACTGCCGTCTTCGTGATCACAAACTAAACCATGACATGATGAGGAGAACATCATTTTGTGAAAGCCTGAGTACATCTATAAAAGTAATGTCAAAATGGACCTTCTGGGCAGAGGGTGTGTGCCTTTCCTGGAGGACTCATCCTGCCCGTGGGTCCTCCACAGAACCTGGGTAATGCAGGATGTTCTTATTTTTCCTTGCCACCAGCCGTCACAGCCCTGCGACAGACTTCCAAACTTTTGCTAATCTGAGCTGAGCTCTGAATTATAAATTTAACTTGCACTTCTATTAGCACCGGTGAGGTGAAGCATCTTTTCACATGACCAAAACTGCTCAGAATCTTTGTGTCTACAGCTTTTGGGCGTGATTCCACTTGCCGTTCCCATTTGCTGGAGTTCTTGACTTACTAAGAAAATATTTACTTTTCGTCTAAGACAGATCATTTCTGTATTTTAATTTGTGCTTTATTTATAGTGGGGTTATTATCATGCTAATTTTATGTTCATTTCACTCTTATGTGTTTCCACATTTAGCTAAGCCTTCACATTCTGAAACTTCATATAATTTTCCTGTATTTCCTTTGAATGATTTTGAATTTTAATTTTGACATAAATATCTTTTCAATTATTTAGAGCATAACATTACTTTAGTGGCAAGCAGAAAATAAAGATCATAAGTTCTCTTTTGGCGACAACTTTGCTGAAGGAGCACGTTTCCCCTCTAATTCTGATCATTATCGTACACTAAATATTTGTATGGTGGTGGGCCAACTTCTAAACTTTCAATTCTGCTCCACTGAGCCATCAGATGGTATTTGTTGCTGATTAATATCATTTTTTGAAAAACTCTTAAACTACTAAAAACTCTACTGAGTCCTCTGCAGCACCCCTGCCTGCTTCCATTTACTGCCCTCATTCTTATTTTGCCTATAATAAAGGCCTAGGTGTGTGAAACACAAGCTCAAGGGCTCCAAGACTGGAACCGGAGAACTTGGATTTGAATGGGTAATGTCATTCCGGCATCCTCATGTTTGGCCTACGTCTTAGCTCAAGTTCAAGCTCCCCTCACTTACACAGAGACTGTAAATGATTCGATTGCTCCCATGATGTGCTGCCACCCTTGTCCATCCCTGCCAGCATCTGCAGGCATCCATGGGACAGATGTCTTGGGTGATGTCCTTCTACTTGTGTACATTTTAGAAAATTTTAACAAGATCATGATGGATCCTGTTTTAACATTTATTTTATTCTATGGGTGTTCTGCCTCCATGTACTTATATGCCTGAAAGGGCATCAGAACGCTTGAAATGGAGTACCGACAGTTGTGAGCTGCCAAGTGCGTGCTGGGACCTGAACAAGGGCAGCAAGCACTATTAGCCCCTACTTCTCCAGCCCTTCACGATAAAGTTTTTAAACTTTAACACTGGGGTCACGGTCTTGTCCTATCCAAATCACCTAGCCCCTCAGAGCCTGGACCTGGCCTCACTCTAATCAAAGTCAAGTTTAACTACTCCAGCCCCAACGGGTCCTGGGTCCTCATTATTCAGACAGCATTGCCTACTTAGTGATGAGATGTCTTGTCTTCTTAGCTATCTTATGGATTCATTACTCTTCTAAACACAACTCTAAGCTATTCTTAAAAGAGTTTTTTTTTCTCTTCTAAACACATCCCACACCACTGATGCTCAGTATATGTGACCCCTAGACAAGACTTTCACACCAAAGTCTCAGGAAGATGTGCAGAATGAGGAATCCCTAAGGGACTACACATTAATAATTATACACATCTTGGCAACTATACCAATACAGTCTAAAAGCACTTGTTTTCACGATCGATTTGTGTTCTCACAAAAAGAAAAATTATTTTTTATTTTTAATTTTTTGATTCTTTGATGTGTATCATTCTCTCATGTTTCCCCCCAAACTCAGTTTGGTCAAGATTTAAGAAACAGTCAAGCACGGACACCACAATCCTAGCCCTCAAGTTTCTAGGATAAATGTCCTGATCCAGTGGATTGAGTTCACCCTTCAGAAATAAGACAACAGGATTCTAAGCAGATGGCATGAAGAGTATACGGCAAATCTCTTCCTGTACGAGGATTCTGACCCATCAGCAGAGGTTGTCTGTAAAGCTTTGGGCCTCTGAGTTAGGAAATATACAAAGGTATTTTTAGTACACAGAGGGAAACAGAGCTATGGCTCTTGAGTAATGCCTGCCATGGATGAGGAAACACAGGCAGCCCAACTGTCAAGCATCATTCAAGGAAATCCTGTTTTTTCTAGTAAGGCAGCTTGATCCTCTAATACCGAGAGAGGGTGAAGAATCCTTTTGTTTTTTCTTTCGATTTATTGTATGTGCTTGCATGTAGGTCTCTGCACTGCACACATACCAGGTGTCTGCAGAGGTCACAAGGGTTTGTTGGATCTCCTGAAACAGAACCTAATGGACAGCTATGAGCTGCCACACGGGCGCCGAGAATCAGACTGGGTCATGTCTAAGAACAAGTGTTCTCAACTACTAAGGCACCTCTCTAGCTCCAGAAAGAAAAGTCCTTACGTAAGAAAAAAAGGTCTTGTTATCCCTATCTCACAAGACACACCTACCCCATGGGAAATCACTCACTGATCATCCCTTGCTTGGACTGGCGCTGCAGCCTCTCCTGGGGCTCCTGGTGTGTCCTGCTTCTACAGAAGTGTGTTCTCTATAGTCACAGTAACCAGCGTCACAGCAGATGCTCAATGTCAAGCTTCTAACATCTTGTTTGTTACATGGCACCTACTTTAGTCCCAAATAGAGCTTTCTTGTCCATGGGGTTTGCACCACTATTGCAGTAGTTCTCAACTTTCCTAGCGCTGGGACCTTTTAATACAGCTGCTCACCTTGTGATCACTCACAATCACAAAATTATTTCATTGAAGTATCAGTGAAGTAACTCTGCTACTGTTATGAGTTGCAATGTAAATATCTGTGTTGTCTAATAGTCTTAGGTGACCTCTGTGTGAAAGGATCATTTGACCCCAATGATAACTGCTGCCTGACAGCCCTTTTCTGCTGACACACTGCTCACTGCCATCAGCGAGCTTACACCTTCCATCACAAAACCACTATACAAGTGATGAAACTAGTAGCGTACCATTGCCTCTGCTCCATTGTACGGTGTCAAAGTGAACGCATTTGCCAAAAAGCGAAGCTGGTAAAAAGAAAACAACAGGTATTATGTGGCCATTTAGAGCAGTAATAGCAACAACAACAAAATCACTTAACGAAAGGAAATTTGCATTTATGATTACAGCACAAACAAAAACTTCAAGTCAAATAGAAGTCTGTCTCTTGAGCTGAATTCTTACTATGTCATAACTCCAAATTAAAAATAAAGTGTTTGCTACTTACAAGCCATAGCACCGGCAAGAGCAACGTCCACAGAAAGGGAGGCAGAATTCCATATGTCAGATTGGTCATTACCACACCTGGGCACAGCACACTCGAATACAGACCCTAGGAGCACAGAGGAGAGGCACACTAAGATTTTCATTTGATGCACATTGAGTTAGTTCATGGATGCTCATCAATAAAATGCACGCACATTTGAACCAGAAAACCAGGGAATGGCAAGTGTGCACTCTCAGTTGTCCTTGCTGCTTATGGTAGGACCATTTAAGTCTAAAACTACTTGGTGGGATCAGGATGCAAGAGTTAACAAGATAAGTCTATTCTCAAGAATTTATAGTTTAAAGAAATGCCAATCAATGACGTGAAAGGAAAGTGGGGCCTGATTACCAGCATCTTCTATTATTGGCTTAATTAAAGATCAATTCATCAATCCCAATAAGTATATAACAGGCATTCTGAGTTTAATTCTTGCCTTCAATTAGTTTCTGATTAAATACACTAAAAACATAGGCTGTTTCTTTATAGCAGTGGCTCTTAACCTGTGGGTCACAACCCCTTTGGCAAATCTCTATCTCCAAAAATTATTTACGTTACGATTCATAACAGTAGCAAAATTACAGTTATGAAGTAGCACTGAAAACAATTTTGTGTTTGGAGTCACATGAGGAAGTGCAGTAAATGGTTATAGTATTATGAAGGCTGAGACCCACTGCCTGATAGGAACATAGGCCCACATCTCTATAGTGAGAATTTTGTAATTTTGGTTTCTTTAAAAAAAAAAAACATAAAAAACAAAAAACACAGAAATATATGTTTTTGTTTTAATCCCAGGTATAGAGATCTGTGGCTGCCTTGTAGTAGCTGACTATGATTTGCCTCGTGCTCTAACAGGAGCATGATTTTGCCAGCTACATATAGCTTCTGCAATTGTGTGACGTGTGGAATTTTGGGGACGTTTTAAAGGGTATATAAACAGTAGAGCCACAAGAGGTGGGATTTTTGCTGGTTAACTGTTGGTTGCTGTTGGCTGTTAGGCATGGCTTGTTAAGTTTCATGCTCAAAGAAGAAACAAGAAGAAGAAATTACATATCCTGATGGTGAAGATCAAACTTGCCACACTTTGACAACTAAAATGTAAATAAAATCCCAGAGCTTTTTACGGAACATGTAACAAATTCAGCTTAGCCCAGCCCTCTAAAAAGGGAGTGTCCACAGGACTTGGAAGCAGCTGTGACAAACTTTTAAGGTCTCAAAATGTTAGAAGGAAATTCATAGTTGGCTCGACACTCTACTCCAAGCTGTAATTACAACCAGGAAACATCAATGGGAAAGATGAGAATGCCAGTTAAAATTTTGGACCTGGGCAATCAGCTCATTCAAAGCAGCAGTGACTTCCAGATGACAGTGGTCAGAAGCCAGCACGACTTATAAGGGTTATTTTCCCTTTTATATAAATATCCTCTCAATCTGCAACCTCACAGGGATGGAACTATGGAGCCTTAGCATCCATCACCTTCCACAAGGTTTTTAATTACTGGCTGCCTTTTAGTTAGTGACATGACAGCACCTTGGAGGTGTGGGGTTCCATACATGACTCAACTTCTCAAAACTTGAGTGTTTCCATCTGAAAATTGTAATGGTCAGAGGCACCTAGCTACAGTGGGGAAGAAACGGACACAGGTCAGAGCCACCTAGCTGCAGTGGGGAAGACATTAAATGACACACACAGAAGAAGAGGACAAAGACGACAGCACTAGAAGTACTTAGTCAGTGGCTGTATTGTAGTTAGTGAGTGTCCAGTGTTACTCTATTAGCAGAGGATCAGAGTTCCTCAAGAATCAAGAGCCACAAACTGCATATTCCTCAGAGGACAGGCATTGTTCATCTCTCCCCCAAGGATTTTGTTACAACAGTTAGTGGAATAGCCTGCGCTAGAAATAGCAACTCTGACAGTTAACCTCTGTCTCTCTGAGACAGGCCTTGCCTTCTGGTTGAAATTCCTGTTCAGAGCCACATTGAGAAGGTCAGTAGCGTATTTGGAAGAGCTGTAGGGCTCCTGGCCTTTGCTGTGCTGGATGTCGTCGAGGCTGAAGTTGGACCTCTTTGCATTGCGAGAGGATGTCCAGATGAGCTGAGAGGGTTTGTCCGTGTGGCAGAGGAGTGGTTCCAGTTCCCGGATCTGAGTGAAGAAGACACCGTGTAAGAGGTGCCGCGATCTACCAGCGGTGTGTGCTGACAATTTCTGTACATGTATATTCAAATTCAACAAGTAAATGGACATGGAAGTAAGAAGAGGAAGAAGCTGAAATGATTATAGGCGGCAATGGATTAGGGTTGCAGACATCAGTATTTCTGCATGTTACACTGGCTACATGTATGTATAGATGTGTATAAAGCCATGAGTTAATATGTGTATTTTATCTCCTTGGTTTATTAGCTGAGAAGGCCTAGAGCTATTAATGTCTATATAACAAGAACCCAGAGATCTTCATTTCTAGAAATAGTTTGTCTTGGTTTACATCTTAAAATGAAAAAAGAAAATCAAGAAAAAAAACTGTACGGATAATTATAAGTACTTCTAAGTACCATTCTATGCCATATATAATAAGTAGTATACGCTACAGAAACTAAAGAGAGAAATAGCACTTTTAAATAAAAAAACCTTAACATATAAAATATATAACCAAGATTCTGCATGAATACAAAAATGAATTAAATTTAAAAAATGGAAGAGAAAAATTTTTCTGAGAGAAAAATTTCCAAAAAATTTTTATAGATAGTTCATCCTTAAGAAGTTGAAGTTCAACCTCCTCAGTGTGGGTTACACAGAGCAAGTGCCTTCTGAACACTACAGTGTGGAGAAGGCAGCATGACTTCACAGTGAAGAAGCCTGACAAGCCACCTCAAGGCAAGTAACCGAGGTCAACATGAAAAGTTCATAAACTCTGTTGTCATCACCATTCCGAACCAGGCTCTCACTGTGCATCTCAGTGAGCTTGGAGCTCACGCAGCACCAGCTGGCTGTGAATTCTCAATCCTCCTGCCTCCGTCTCCCAAGCGCAGGGATGATAAGAGCATGACAAATGTGCCTTGTCTAGGAATACGCACTCTTGACATGAGGGGGATGAGAAAGGCACTCTGTATCTTACAGTCTTTGCAAAAACATTCTACAATCTAACCACGAGACAAACATCAGGGAAATTAACTGACACTACCACAACGAAGAACCTATGTAGGCCCTGGACAGACTCCCACAGCTGATAATGAGACCTAATAAAACTGGCATAGCCTTTACTTAATAATATATCAGTATCATTTATTTTGTCAAGTGCGCCATACTGACATAAAATGCAAATGAAATAAGAAACTGAGTATAGGATGTACAAGAACTCTCTGTACTATCATTGCAAAAGTTCTGTAAATATACAACTACTGTGAAACATTAGCTCATTAAAGAAAGATCTACCAACAAAGCCTCTGGATGCATCCCATGCTGCAGGGGCAAATAAGCCAAACACCGTCAGGAAAAACCATACATATGTGAGTCAGCTACCCACACCTAAACACACACACTTCACGGAACCTGGCGCTCACACACTCTTTAGACCAACGGTTACTGCCTGGTCCTTATTCTTCTATGCTAACCAAACTAGGAATGGATCTGTTTGTTCATTTACACGTGAACCATAAATTCAAGTTTGTGTTTCATGAAATGTGGTCAGATTCCTAAACCTCACTGAAGTAGAAGGCACTGCAATCACAGCCTTGGCATCATTTTATCTGGCACGTGGGTTCAGAATCCCCTGATGACATGTCTGCTGCATACAGACACGCTAGGACACCTCTGATAATTCCCCCACGACCACAGCTCTCAGGAGCTTTCCTAACAATTTAACTTTGTGAACAGAAGAGTCATCAAAACAAGACTATCAATGCTACTAAGGAATTAGCATTAGCTCTCTGTCACTACCACTTTATGACAGCCCAGGACGGCCTCAAGCTTGCAGCAATCGTCCCATCTCAGCCTATGTGTTAGAATGCAGGGGTGAGCCAACACTACTCAATTACTGTTTTATTTAATAATTCAAGAAGATGGTGAAGAAAGGGGAGAAGATTTTAAGGAGATCAAGGAAACATTAGACGATGGATCTCTGTAAAGTTAGGTAAGAAAAGATCACAGAAGAACTTAATCCTATTCTAACATTGTATCTTAGGAGGTCTTTGTCATTAAAAATGTGATACTCCATATCACTAAAAACTAAACCATATTAAAAGAATATTCTATTCATTCCTAACATCCTGGTAATCCAGTTCATCAAATGACAACCAGTGTTCTGTTTCATTCTATGCCATGTTAATATATATATATATATATATATATATAAAACCATTTGTTTATAGAAATGAGAGTATACTATTCATATTATACTTTTCTATGTCTTCTTAAGAAAACGCCTGAGGGGCCATCGTAAAAACATAAAATATTTATCTCATTTGTTGTAATGACTGGTAACATTCCAGTGTTCCACATTCCAACTTCTAATAAACACAGGCTAGGCCTTAGCGAGGTCTGACTAAGAGAAAACTGAGATCAAAGAAGAGGGGTGAGGAATAACAGACAGAGGTTCTGTGCAGGCAAACTTCGCATCAGAAGTTCTCCCGGCATCAATGAGCTATAATGCTAGCACGGCTGGCCATTGACTCTCAATATTAACGCTGTCCCATAAGAGTGAGTCAGAGGCAACGACACAGAACACATTAGATACGCTGCATGTCTGAATCTTCTACCTGCACCTAGAATTATACATCCAAGTATGGACACCTAAGAAGAAACCAAGATAATAAACAGTGAACTCTAGATGAGAGTTTAATGACAGCATGGTTCCTGTCCCAGGCTATGTGATGCTGAGCCCAGTTTGTAGATCTATTTAGAGCAGAACTAATGTGCTTTTTCTGCTGTTATGTGTGTTGATTCAAAAGGTAACTGTGTATCCAATAATCTACTTCCTCACTTCTCTATGTAAGCAACATTTTCAGAGGCCAGTGATCAGACCTAAATACTCAAAGGTTTAATGTCAACCATAAGCTGACAAGCTTCACAAAACAGTAATGTGTCCATCCCCGCTCTCAGAATCACAATAATAAGTATGGAATGAGTAGGATGCAAGCCTTTTTACCAGGATAAAGTGGCCAAAGAGATTGGTTTCAAACACCTCCTGCAAGCCATCAGCAGTGACCTTGTCATCCTGGGTCAACAGGCCTTCCGCTGTGGAGAACATATGAATCACATTTCTGAAACAGCAGAAGACAGCATCATGACTCTTTAAAGCTCCTTTAACTGAAAATACTAAAAGTGTTCCATGCACGCATGTGCACACACACCCACATACACACCCCCACACACCCCCTTATATGATTCTATAATGATAACATATCAACTTCTTGGACATTTGGGAGTATCACGTGAAATACTAACCGCTTCTTTCCCGCTAGTATACAGTGTACTGAACGCGCTTTTCTGTTCCCACTACCCAATCAGGTTATAGATAAACTGTTCACAGGCAGTCACAGCTATGCCATGAGAAACAGCCTTCACCGAGTGTGTTTAATTACCAAGAAAAAAAAAAAAAGTTAAGCAGGTTGTCTTTTTCACTAGGAATTCTAAGGACATCAAACAAATTAACGGAGTGTCTTGCTGTGACATCAGTTTAATAGTGGGATTGGTGCATGTTTTATTTTCATGGAAAAAAAATACAAAGAAAGTGAGCAGGTCACCTGTATGAAAAATCTCTATGAATAAATGCACTGGGCTGCAAACATGATGTATTTCTGACTCGGGTTTGTGGTTAGAGAGCTTTGAAAGCCACTATCCTCCTGTGTATTTGGAATCTCTCGGGCAGACATTAATTCTCTGTATTCCCTCAACTTACTGGTCAGAGTACCTGACACACAGCTAGGAATCCTGCGATGCAGCCTGCTGGTGCTGGAGGCTCTCTGAGAATACTGCCCTCTCTAAAAAGGTTCCGCCAGAGGCACATTCAGCCATATCAAGCGACAGAGGCCATCTGACGAGATGGAATGTTCCAGAGACTTAGAACATTGTGAAAACCATGACAACATGCAGTATTCCCACAAAGATGAGTCTTGACTTGCCTACTGTGGTACCAGCTATGCATCTTCATCTGTCTCCGCATCCCCCAACTCAACATACACGTGAAAGGCAAAACCACTGCCAGCAAAATGAGCACCCTCCTTGCACTCAGCTCATCTAGAACAGTGGTTCTCGCCCTACCTAATGCTGTGAGACTTTGGCACAGTTCCTCATGTGGTGCTGACCCCAATCGTAAGAATTCTTTCACTGCTGTTTCATAACTGTAGCCTTGCTCCTGTTATGAATTGTAATGATATGCAGGATATCTGACATGCGACCCTGTGAAAAGGTCATTCACGCCCACAGGAGTCACGACCCACAGGTTGGGAACCACTGATCTAGAACATGAAAATTACCTTGAAAAGATGCCAAGGAAAAATGCTTTGACATTCAGCTGGGGATTAGGCATGATACCAGCATTCAGATATAAGTAGTCTAATCTTTGAAACCTGCAAGAAAAATGCCAAAATGACACTGTTAGGAAAGAGGAGACACAACCACACTCCATCTCTAGAATACAGAAGGTCCAAGGACGGAAAAACCCTTTCCAAACCAATTAAGATGGCCACAAAAGCTACGTGACATCAGAATTGCAATAATTCTTTCTCAACAGTTTCTTTAGTCACAGTGAACACTGAGTTTCTTTGCTCAAGGTAGTTTCAATGGGCTGAGAAGTTAAAGCTAAAGAAGTTAAAGAAAATCTAACTGTAGCCCACCAGTCAGGCACTGGAGCACTCTCCATCAAACCTGTCCTTCTCCTCTTCTGTTTTACAAAATCACTGCCCTTTTTTTTTTACCAGTTCACATCTTCCACAGTTGGCAAGTTAAGTTTATATAATATATAGCAGGTTGGACTTGACCTATCAGTGCTGGAATCTGGATAGCCAGGTATCTACCCAAACAGAAGACACAAGTGGAAACCACTCTATTCATGCCGGGGGCTACACACCATAAACTAAAGGCCACTCTCATCCCCTGAAGCTGTAAATGCCCTACAGGGGTTAGGTGTTCCCAGTGGGCTCACTCCAGAATACATGTCATGGAGTCACTGAGACATGCAAACTTGAGTGAACTTTTTCAGCTTTGAAACTTCAAAAGCTTTACCCATTGGAAGTAGGACCAAAGCATGCAGGGCCTGCTCCCATGATGCTCAGAGTATCTCCCAGAATCCTAGGCACCACACTGCGTCCTCTATGTAACCCAGGACAGAACAACAGCTAATAAAACTGGACCTCGAAATATCTACTTGGTTGACAATATGGATTATGCACCAGCATTTCTTGATCATGCTATAGAACAACCATATGGTTCAAATTATTAAAATGACTACTTTAAGTAATGACACTGTTGTTGCTATAACCTCCATTTGCCATATAAGTGAAGCCAGTGGGATCTCGGGTTAATTATTCCATTATCTAATTTATAAACTTTATTTTGCTAGGCATGAAGAAGTGATGCTTAGTAAGTGTGGAAATTAAGCTCTGGCTTCTGTCAAACAGCATAATTGGTGTACTCAAAGATGAAAGGATTGCCATAGTGTCTCTATCTGGATAAAACAACATCATCATTACTTCTAACAGAACAGAGTAGAGCAGACGGAAAGACCTGGGGTCAGACACAGCGATGTTTTTGCCAATTTGGACAGGGTACCTCCAAGTTCTCTGGAGTTACACATCATTCAGTACAGGTTCCTTCAGCACAACCCACTTTATACTAGACCCATTACTTCTCACATGTCCCTGTCCTTTCTCATTTGCTTACATGCTATGCTGCCCTACCACATGAGAAAGCGCTCTGTCAAAAAGAGACGTACCTTTGCTTGACTTCCTTTGCACCCCGGACCACAGACAGCAGGCTGCAGACATCCATCTGCACAAGGCTGACTTCGGCCGAGGGGTGAGAGGCCAGCAGGGCGTCTCGCGCAGCTGCTGCTTTGCTCAAGTTCCTACACGCCAGACACAGGTGAAGCCCATCGTCTTCTGCCAGCAGCCGATTGCAAAGGGCTAGCCCAATGCCACTGAGAAGACAATCGCACGGGGCATGAGTTCATTGAAACGGTGCTAACCTCGGGCATTTCTCTCCGGTTCAGAAACTTGATCGCCTCAACACGAGCTCCAGTGAGAAGCCCAGTCGGACAGAACATACCCAAACGTTATGTGAAGGGATAGCCCCTGATAAGCCATGTGATTAGGCTCACATCCAGCTGCCCCCCTCTAAAATAGTTCAATGACACAGGAAGTAGGGTTTGGGGTACCTGTCAGGGTGTGATTTAACACACACCCCAGCAAATGCTGGGGATCCTATCAGCTGTTTAGTATATCCCCATTTTCTTGTGCTACCTAGGTCCCTCAAAGGCAAGGGTTCTAGCATCTCTTGGTATTTTTGTTAATAGGAACACTGTAAATCCCAATAAGTGAACGGGTGAGGTTTTGGTTTGGGGCATATTTGTCTGTTTTCAGGAGAACAGCAGGAGGTTAAATCTCTGTCAACTACTAAATCACAGAATACCCAACAGAAAGAAACAGTCCTCGGTACAAGTAGACAGAAGGTAGGAATACCAATCAAATGGGGGCAATTGTAGCTCCCAGAGGCTGGCACACTAGGTCAGAAAAAGAGCAATATGAGAGTGCCCAGCAGATGGTGCAGAGGGGCAGCAAACAGAACCCCAAAGTGAGTCTGAAAGCCACATAACCTGGTGGTCCTGCCAGCAACAGAGTATCAAACACATATGAGCCCATTCACCCTTACTTCAAAATATCAGACTAGGTGTGTGTGTGTATTTGCACACACAATATATATCGAAATTACACAAAATGAGTTCTGACTTCTATATGCACAAAAACCAGTTGCCCGGAAGGAGCTGGCATGCTAACAAAAAGCCCGAGACAAACCCTTCCTACACCCGCTTAGTTAATATGGGTGTGGTGAGATCACTGAGACAGGCTTAAGTGCCATTTAACCAACCCTGTTATCAATTCCTCAAAAATATCAATGTAACAAGCTGGGGAGAGGTTGGTTGGTTCCACCCTCCACACGTTCTTCGTGGACAAATGAGAAGTCCAGTAGGCAATAAAGTAGATCAAGGGTCAACTGAGCAAGCCTGGAGTAACTGAACCGTGACTGCACTGGGGCAAGCCTTAACAGCAAGAGACCGATGGGTCTCTATGTTCCTGGGGAAGAGTATGCGGAGTGTGCTAAGGGAATAAAGCCTCCCATCGTCCTAAAGTTCCTGGATGCTGACATTCAAATTCCCGGAGTGTGAGACACAGCGCGTGTTTAGGGTTAACGTGAACCGTGGGCACCTACAGTAATTACTTTCGGGAGACCAGGCCACTGGTGGGGAACGGGTGTTGGGGGGTGGCGGGGTCTGAGTGGAAATTCCAGGTCCCTTGACAGCATGGGCTCTGCATCATTGCCAGGCTGGTCAATCACTGGCGCTCGACTTCTCCTTTCCACTGCCATGTTTAATTCCAAGCGCCAGTTACCGAGCACCCAGTGAGGCGGGCATGATCACGCCCCTTGGGAAGCCCAGGGAAGGGCGGAGCAGGGTCTCAGTGGAGTCCCCACCGAAATCAGTCCAGGGTCACCGACCTGCGCGTCCCCGCACCCCGGAACGTAGCCTCCGGGGTTCCGTAGGAGGCCTCACCTGCTCGCCCCAGTGACCAAAACCACCTTCCGCATCTTCCACGCCGCACAGCAGAGTTAACCCAGAGCAGCGCCGGGTCCAGCGCTCAGCCGGTACCACTCTCCGCGCCCCAGCACAGCCGGGCCAATCAAGGCTCGGCCAGGCCCCACCTCTCCTGCGTCATCAGTCCCTAGACCTGCCGATCGCAGCCCGGCATCTTCCCTCCGCCTCCCGGCCGGATGGGGTGAGGTAGGGCGAGGGGCGGGGCCACGTGACTCGAGAGTCCTGGCCAATCCATGCAGTCCCCGCCCCCAGCGTGCAGAAGCCGGCTGGCTGGAGGTGTGGCTGCGGGGCGGGGGGCTCGTTCCGGGAGAGGCGAGTGCGCGGGCGGAGCTGGAGAGGGCGGGCGAGGCGCAGAAACCGAAGTCCCGGGTTGCTTCTTGGGAATCGCGGAAAATTTGGCAATTTCCAAACCCTGAATGTGGAACGAAAACCAGAGAATCTCCTAACTCTAAAGGAATGTGTGCTGTCATCTTCTTCAGTGCCTGTTGGGCTGCTGTAAAGGGCCTTTTTTTTTTTTTTTTGGCGCCCAGCCTCGCAGAGGAGTACTTCGGAGGGGTTGCGGCTAAGTAATGGAGGAGGGAAGGGCAAATGCATACAAATTATCACCTCCACTTTTTATTAAATTCACATCATATGAAAGTACCCTGTGCAGATGTTGTAATTCCTACTCCTGCTTTCGCTCTTTATAGATGGTGAACACTGAGTGAAAGTATGAGTACTCACGCATGGTATGACTGAACAAACTTCATCCTGTCTCAAAGCTGTAATTACTGTGAATAGCAATGATCCTAAATGACTGAGATCTTTTCTGGGCTTTGATCTAGATGTTTTGATCAATGATGCCAATTAACTGCTGAAACTTAAGAGGCTGATCATTTCAGATGTTCTTCAAAGATGGTAACTTAACAATATTTCTAAAAGCCTTGGAGTGAAATTCTCACTCATCTTGAGATTCTATACCCAAATGATCCTTTTTTTAAATTCTGGAGATCAGAGGAGACCTGTAAGAGGGCAGAGAAAACTATGTGGCTCTCCCAAAGAAATCTCACGTTGAAAGAAATCAGAGAGTTTAGAGTCTAGGGTGGAGCCGGTGTATTCACACCACACCCTAGGGTAGCTATGAAAGTGGCCCAACTCGAAACTGTAAACGTAATTAACATGTTTCCAGGTGTGTTTTGAGATTTTTTTTTTTTCTAAAGCTCTATCGGGTGGTTATTAGTGTAAACTCGGTCCAGGAAGACATCAGGTCAAAGGTTGGATATGTCAGGGAGGGATTCCACCTCACCACAATCTCAGATGAGAATGGGTGGAGGACCAGCCTGGAACACTTCAGAGGAAGTCCCTCCGCTATCACCTCCATCCTAGTGTCTTCCTCCTTTTGTTCTGCTGAAGCTGCTGTTGTGACCTTCAAGGGATGGACTGGAATGTCAGACTAGAATGTTTTATTTTAAAAATAATTGGTCATAAGGAGGTCACAACTAAAACATTTGAAATATATTTAATGTATAGCTAAGTGGTTGTTTTGTTGTTTTGTTGTTTTGTTTTGTTTTGTTTTGTTTTCAATCGCTGCAAAGCTACTCATCTTGGGTTTGTATGGTTCAGGTGCTTTTTCTGTCGGACACCAGCACAGCGTGGCACACAGTGAGTCAGCCTCTCACTGACAAGCCTTGGCAGGTGAGTTGAATGGTAGGTGTATCAACTCTATCATTATTTATGCTCCATGTACTAAATGTGTCTCTTCCCTACACTCTGACACTGATCTCTGGTTCCTTTTATGGTAGCATAGGTCGGCATGAGAGATGTATCTTTTGCTCCTGTAACAAAGCTCTTATTCTTGGTTCTCATAAACCAGAACTGACTGCCTCTAATTTGCAAACAGGACTATGGAACAACTGTCAGTTGGGGCTGTGTGGCTTCTCCTGTTCATATTCTTCACCCCTCTTCCCTTGAAATAATGCCCAAAACTAATTTGGGAGTTTCCCAGTTCATTGCTGGTAAATGGTCATGTGTTACCCTGTGCAGGATCCAAGGACTATGGAAGAGAATGATTTACAGATATGTGGGTCACTTCTCTTTCATATAGGAAATAAATATAAAACTCTAAATGGAAAGTAGTTTTCTTGTTCTCTGCTACTTAACCAAACCCCTGCAAATTGCTAATGAAAAACTGAGTAGACATAATTTCCACCCTCACTAACAACCTACATACTGAGATTTATGAATAACGTGTGTGTGTTTCTGTATGTGTTTGTGGGGGGGGTGCAGATTATCACTCATATCTTCCTTTAAGCCTTGGCAATAGGTGTTGACAGCAGAATTACCTCTCTGAACATCTCCAGTGCCCTTGTTTCCACCACTCAGGCATAGGAACTCCTGGCCTTGGTTCCTGAAATCCTGGACATTGCAGAGAAAGCATGATCATAAATACTCTATTTATTCTTTGAGAATTTATACCCGTTCTCTTATCTCCTATGTCTTGCTGGAAGAAGTATGTTCATATTATTCAGAAATCTGTTCTGCCGGTTAAAGTAAAATGTTTTCGGGATCACTCCTCCCTAATCTCTATTGTGAAGTTTGAATCTGGATTCCAGTTGAATATAGTTTTGTTGATTTATACTTGTGTGATCAGCTGCCTGGGACAGACAGTGTTTGGATTTAGCAAAGGTTTCTGTTCAAAATAAACTTTACAGCAATAACAATAAAAGCTCCCAAAATAACTCTGGAAACTCTGGACTCAGAACTGGCCCAATCATGTGAAGATTACAGTTTCGACTGTGCCTGGAAATGTCAGAGACATAGCCATGTTAGTTAGCTGTCAACTAAGATCTAGTCCAAGCCTTTTCAAGCCTTTTGCCAGATAGCCTGAATAGGCATGTCCATACTGTGCACCTGCAGCTCTTTCCCTGTCTCTGCAAAGGTATAGGGAGGAACAGACCAGCACTGTTCCTCCTGAGACAGAAAGAAGGCTCCATCTGTAGCATGGCTCTTTAATCACTGATTAAATTATTTACAATTCATCATCCAACAGAGTTACAGAGAATAAATAAAGGAGAGAAAACATACAATTGGCATCACGTTCCATTCCTTTTCCTAATACAGAGGATTTTTATGGACTCTATTTTAGAATGACTATGATAGTTTTTTTGTTTGTTTGTTTGTTTGTTTTACGCTGAAATTAAATCATTTGCTTTTTAGCCCCTGACAAGACACATTTCCACCATGGCCTGTGGAGTTAAGCCCAGATGTTGCCTCATCATAGAAAAGTCCACCATATTGCTGCAGAAGGTCAGTCCTCGGAGACAGGACATGGGCAAGAAGAGGTGAATCAGTGAATAGCGAAGAGCCATTCCAGTGAATAGTGTAGATTACAAATGCCTGGTGTGTTTGCAGGAATGCTCTCAACTTTCTCTGTTACCCAAACTTTAAAAAAAAAAAACACCCTTTGCACTGAAAGCAGTTGTCTGGGCTTTGCTTTGGCAAATGATTTCTTGACATACAATTGTGATTACAGATCAGCCTTGAAACATAGATCTGTTCTCCTGTAAGACTGGTAAAGTCACTGGCAAGGTGTCTATAGTAGAAACTAAATAGCTTGTTTCAAAAGAGCTGGATTTGGGGCCAGAGTCTTCTCTCTGCCTTTGACCTAGAGCCCTGTGAGAACTACCTTGCATGGCTGCCTGAACCAGTTCCATATTACAAAGGATTCAAGGGTATACATTGCCTGAAGGACCCTTTTTTCCTTTTCTTTTAGAATTGAAAATAAGCCCTCTATGTTATAAAGTATTTCTCCCAAAATTAACATTTGTGATACATAACAATTTTTCCACACTTTATTCATCAAAGACATAAAATTCACAAACTATTCACTTGTGTGATAGGAACTTCATAAGCCACAGACAATTATATTCCTGTACCCTTTAAGCAGGGCAGCTTTAAAATGTCTAACTGAAAACCCAACCTTTGACCACAAAGCTATTGTGTTTGTTTAATTTAGCAGCTGATGTTGCAATTAAGGACAAACAGCTAAGCTAAGGAAGCTTATCTCCTACTCTGAAGACAGTGTATAATCTCACATTGTATTTGTGTTACATTCTATCCACAAACTGCCCCTGCTTTCATTAAGCACCACTTTGTTCTTGACCAAAGTATTGGTTTACCCTAAAGCTCTCTTGTCACTAACAAAAGTCCTGCTCTTCTGTTTAGAGTTTCCTTCTACCTAAATGCCTTTTATGTTGTTACTCTTCTTAAGTTGTTCTTAGGCTGTTTGGAGTCCAAACAGAGGAACTCATTATTAAGCTTGCCTGGTGTGTAATTCTGTGGACATTGGAGTTCCAGCAATGATGAGCATTACTTAAGAAAGTGGATTCAGCAAATAGGTAGGATATTGTTCACTCATAGATGAGCTTGTCCATTTGCTGTTTTCTCTAGTTTGTAGAATAATATCCAGATAGAGTCTTTCATGCTGTATGCCACCAAGGTCAGGTTACAGACCAACAAAGGCTAGTAATATCCAGTGAGCAAGTGAGTACAAGGTAGGAAAACTGGTGAAACCCAAGACAAGCCTAGAGTTTAGTTTTGAAAAGGGCTCAAAGTAGACCATGGTTTCAATGGATGAAAATAGACTGAAATATTATTGCTGAGAGGGAACTAAATAGGATAAGGCCACTTTGTACTGATTCTTTTGTATGTCATTTCAATTCTCAGATAATTGCAAAATAAAATGTTTCTTAAAAGTATTGATGTCACCTAGACAGTCACTCCTCAGTCTTTTCCTGCCAGCCTATTGAGCTCATTAGAGAAGAGGGTTAAAACTGCTCAAAATCAAATTCTTAGTAACTACCCAGTTTCTTTTTTTCTTAATTCAGGATTCCAGATAATTCACCAAGTGCTAATGACATTCATCTGTTTCTAGAATATGAAACCTCAGTTCAAAAAGATTTCCCAGAGTATACCAGAATCTGTATCTTGCCAAAACATTAGGGGTGTACCCCACACAGTACCTAAGGAGATAAGGTTCAAAACAACAACAACATCAACAACAAAAAACAAAAACAAAAGAGGACTGTGATAGCAAATGCCAGGCCCATGAATTCAACTTAGGATCAAAGTCGCAATAGTCAATGTATTGTAATTCTCTTTATTTAGTACTTTTGGGTAAAAAGTTTTCTAGTGAATGTCTTCAGAACATCTTCCCCTGTTTCCTTCATCCTGACACACACCCCCTTCTCTTCTTTCCTTAAAATGCATAGCCTAGCCCCACACCATGGTTTTCTTGTGGGATGCTGGGTGGGACTAGACAAACAGGTTTCTAATATGACACCTCCCTCTGTCTGTTAAACATCAGACAAGACTGAGTCTTGACTGATTTACACCTACTGTTTTCATGTTCCCTGTGGCCATCCTGGACCCAGCAATGATGAGCATTATTGAAAGGAGATGATTTGTTAATGAGTGAAAGTTTCCCATTCCTAGATCTTCACTCCCAAAAAGCACATGGAACACCAATCCCAGTGCACAGACTGCATTGGCTTGTTACCAGCACTAGATGTGGTCTAGAACACACAGGGGAGCAAAGTGCCTCCAGTCCCCACTTCCCCTGAGATGGAGATGTCACTCCCTTACGGCTCTGACGGTTACCTGTTTCTATATCCACAAAGACCATCCCTTTCCTTAACTCTGCAAAAATCCCTTCCATTTCCTACAGCGTACCTAACACCATTTTAATAAACATAGGCTCTCTCATCCAGCATTTCTTCTTTTACTTACCCTCCATTCTTTTTAAGTCACTTTTTCTAGCCGTTCTCAGATCTCTTTTCAGGTATCAGAGTTTTTTTTCGTGGCCTCCAGACAGCCTGACTTGCCTAGCCTTGTATCTTCCCATAACTTCTCCTTGCCTCTCTTTATGGTGCCTTCTTTCTCATTTTCTCCTCATCCTCTCCATCTGGTCACACACACAGACACACACACATTTGTGTAACCACTGTTTAAAAACACTTCTTGCACACTTGTGTACAGCCCTCTTTTGTTACACAGTCTTGAGCACTCACAGGTGATCTTTCCACAACTCCAACAATGCATTATGCCCTCAGGGCACTTCTTTCCATTCCAGGTCACTATATATGTGATGATGTAGTTACATATTTGTCTGGTCAACAGGTCAAGATCTGAACATAGATACTGAGGCTATAGATCAATGACAGAGCCCCTGCCTGGCATGTATGAGCTCTGGGTGTGATCCCAGTACTAAAAAATAATGGACCTGACTACCAATACAGGTATTGATAACGGTATAAATTGAGATTTGACAGTCTAAAGGACATCTTGACATAAGTGTTTCACATATATCATCATGAATAACTTGGAAAAATAACAATAATCCCCAGTTTCTCGTCTGTTTCTGCTTTCTTTTTCCAAAGCCAACCTTCATCCCTCTAATTTAGATTTGACCTACCTGCTATGTCTACATAGTAAGCCCCTATCATCTACTATGTTTATACCATACTGCTAAACTCTACAAGTGTAAATAGAAACTAAACCTGTGTCTGTAATATAAAAGTTTCAGTGCCAGAAGGTAGAGCCTCCATACAAAAAAAAAAAATATTAAAAGTGCCTGTACATGATGATACATATTTGATAGTCATCTGGAGCAGATTACTTCTATAATGCAAAGTCCTGAAATTTTCATTTTTAAACATGATTTTTAAATGGCAGGTAAAGGAATAGAATCCTAAAGTGTATATAGTCAGGAGTTGTGAAGGAAGTATGTCTGGACCTGGAAATATAAAATGAGATAATGTGTGGAAATACCTGGTCACTTGAAAGCAGATACAAGCAGGTGTGGGTCTTACTGAAATGTCCGTGAGGATCTCTATTACTGGCCACAATTTTCTGAGCAGTAACTGAACCTACATCAACCACAAATCTAGTCCTCCAGCAAGCACAAAACATAGCAGAACACCAGATTTCTAGACCATCTAATTCAAATTTCTCAATAGACAGGCAAGGAAACAAATTCAGAGAGACAAGACTTGGGAAGATAGCAAGCTTGCCTTGGGGCAGAAAGAGGGCCAGAGTTCCAAACCCAGTGCTCTCCTACATCTCCAATCAATGGCCCAAGTTAGTCTGGGGAAAGACTAAAGCTGAGAATGATAGAAAAGCCATGGGAAAGGGGAATTTGCGAGGACTGGATAGGATCTACAAAATGAATTTTAAGACTTAGAGTTACAGCTACGCTGTATCCTGGAGCCATGCTGAGTCTCAACCAAGGAACATTCAAGAGACCATGGAGCAAGCTGGTAGACAACAGAAGCAGAGCACGGCTATTTTTCCCTCAGCCAAGGGAAGCTTATTTGGTAATCTTTTCTTGGTTTTCCTCTATAGGACTCTAAGTTTGGTTTTCCTAGATTCCTGCTGAATCTGAGAATCTGTGGAGGATAAGAACTTAAGATCCTCTCGAAGGTGACACCTGCTTAGTTGTCCATCAGTTCTCATAAATCCTGAAGCCAGAAACTCATGCTTTGCCTCCATCCACACTCTCATTGGCAAAAGCACACTCAGTGACACAGAATGGCCGTTCCTTCGTTATCACATACAGACATATATATCCAGGGGTTAAGAACCTCTTCCTTGCATAGTTTTTCAGCTAGTATCTGAACCTTTTCAGAGAGACTCCTCACCTCTGGGGAAGCCCATTTACATCCCTAGCTTCTGAGTCCATATTTTTCCAAATAAGTCTTCCTCTAACTTCTTTCAGTGGTCTAGGCCAACCTTTTGGGAACACTCAGGACAGACCTACTGTTTGTTGGACATGGAATTGGATATTTATGCCTCAGATATTCAGACCCTAGCCTACAGGTCTCACAGAGGCAGCACATACTGGAAGAAACAGAAGTGGGTAAGATGAACCAAAGGAGCAAACCATTAAAATATGAAAACACCAGGCTTTACTGATTAAAGTCAAGCAAAACACACAGGTGAAAATGATTAAGCAAGACAGAGAAGACCCTCACACTTTAACAACAAATAGTATACTTGCTACTCATCCTCCATGACTTCTATCTACTGAGGACCCTGTGCAACCTTTCCTTCCTGTGTCCAACTACACTCCTACAAGCCTTACAACAGATACTTTTGCCTACCCATATGCCCTGTTTCATAGCTATGTCCTGATCTCTGGCCAGGGATGAAGAAAACATTCATTCCAAGAAACAAGGCAGAGCTTTTTAAGAACATGTCACTCACTGTAACAGGAGAGAGAGATCTGAGAGCGGGACATGTCCAAGTCAGAAAACCATCCATTACTTGTGGAATGCCAAGTCCTACAATTCTTTATAACTACCAAGTATTTTCCTTAAGCCTAATCTCTAATCTCATGTTTCCCAAGACATTCATATTCTTCAAGTTTTTCTTTCTTAAGGTATTTTACAGAAAGTGACATGGAAAAAAAATATTGC